CCCAACAAAATAAAAGTTGAAAATAAGTAAAAAAAAAAAAAAAAAAAAAAAGGAAAAGCAACACAATGAAAATTGAAAATAAATAAAAAATTTAAAAAAAATGAAAAATAAAAAATAAAAATGAAAATAAAGAGAAAAGAAAAGAAAAAAAAAATGGTATTCCGTTGCCGGGATTTGAACCCGGGTCTTTCGGGTGAGAGCCGAATATCCTGACCAACTAGACTACAACGGATTTATTGATCTGAAATGTCAAATAAAAATAAAAATATTTATTTTTTATTTGGTTTAAAAGAACAAAGTCAATCCATCCAAATAATCCCAATTTATTATCTTCCGGAGTTTTAATTTTTATAATGAAATATATATTTTACCATTTTCATAAAAATTCAATAAATTAAAATGAAAAAAAATAAACAAACAATTTTTTTTTTTTTTAAAAAAAGAGAAAAATAGAAAAGAAAAATAAATAAAAAAGGGAAATAAGAACAAAAGGTCACGTCGGTCCTCCCTCGACCTGGTAGCCCAGGCTCTGGGTTTACCCCCATCGCCTCTGTCGTCTTCTTCTTTCTTCTCTCTGTTCGTTCAGTTCCAGAAAAGCGAAATTGCTTGGATCTGCTTTTCTCTTTCCTCTTCCCAAAGGTGAATTTCTCCAACCTTTTCCCTTCCTTTTCTGCAATTCCTTCAATTCCAATCAATGCCTCTGTAACAGTTCTACCCCCTTTTGCGTCTCTTTTTTTCGTTTTGAATCGGGAGGCCTTTTTTTCTGTTTAAAATCTTGTTTTCTTAGAGGTTTTTTTAGAAATAGGTGCTGTTTGGATCTTCGTTGGGTGATTTCGATTGGGTTCTGTGGTCTATTTGGAATGGAAATATTGTAGTGGGAATTTTGAAGTACTGTTATTATTGTATGCTTGTATGGACTTTCATGCTCTGTATTTGGTGGAATGATTCTACTTAGAAGTTGTGCTAGTTATCTGGTGATTGTTGTGGGCGGAGTAGAATGTTTTCCTGACTGTTCTTTTGGTTTGGTGGGATTTGGACATTTATGAATTTGGTGTGATTGATTTATCAATCTTTTCTCTATTGTGAGTAACTTTTTAAACATAGTTTCCAGAAGGTATTAGTGTTACCGTTTATTCGATTATGTTTCTCGACGCTGAATTTGTTCGTACATATGTTCTTGACCAAGAGATCGAAGGTTCGAACTAAAAGAAGAAAAAGAATCAAAATTGACTGATAGTTAGCAATATGTTTGCCTAGAAGGTACCATAATTTCAACAGTGCGGAGTTCTTGTGTGAATGTTTCATTTATTTACCTCGAGATTTAGCTCGATCTTCTTTTTTCGCCTTACGATTTAAAAGTTGAGATAGAAGGATTCTTTCTTAGGTATGCAAGTTGGTTTGTTTTCTTGTGCTTTTGAACTAGTTATGTTCGAGTTTTATGAACTTGTCTCATTTCATTTGAGCTGGGATTCACTGTATGGTTTGGTTCTTTTTAGTTCCTTTTCGTTTTGCTTGTGATTATTGCACTTCTTATCTCTATTTGAAGTTGATTTAGTCTTATATATACTGCAAAAAAGCTTGACATTATGCTGAGATAATGTTTTGGTGGCTGTGGAGTTCAGGGATAAGTTTTGGTGTTCTTCCCATTATATATTTTAGTAGGGAGAAGGAGAAGAGAGGATGTCGAATGGTCGGAACACCCATTGGTGTTATAGATGCAGAAGTTCGGTACGTCCTCGAGGTAGAGATGCAGTTTGCCCCAACTGCAATGGAGGATTTATCCACGAACTTGATGATATGGTGCATGGAAACCCATTTGAATTCTTTGGTTTGGATGATGATGATGAAGTTCACAATCATGGTATGGGAGCATTCTCTGCTTTTATGAGACAGCGGTTAGCTGAAAGAAACGACATGAGGGGAAGATCAGAGTCGGTTTTCGAGCTTAGCCCGGGATTTGGACCACTATTAGTATTTGGTGGTCAAGTTCCAATGAGAAACAGCAGGTTAGAAGCTCTCTTCAATGGGGCTCCTGGCGTTGGCCTTACACGAGGCAATAGCGGCGACTACTTTATAGGCCCTGGACTGGAGGAGCTATTTGAACAGATTTCAGGAAATGGTCATCGCGGCCCTCCGCCAGCATCTAGATCATCAATTGATGCAATACCAACTGTTAGGATCGCGCAACAACATCTTCGCTCGGATTCACATTGTCCAGTTTGCAAAGAAAAATTTGAACTCGAGTCCGAAGCTAGGCAGATGCCCTGTAGTCACATGTACCACTCAGATTGTATTGTTCCATGGCTAGTCCAACACAACTCTTGCCCTGTCTGTCGCCAGGAACTGCCACCACAGGGAGTAGGGGTCGGGGTCGGGGGCGGGGGACATATCGCCAATGGTCAAAACGAAAGCAGCAGCTACAACAACGGTAATGGGTCCAGTGTGAATCCGGGCAGACGCAATCCATTCTCTAATCTGTGGCCATTTAGGTCGTCTAGTTCAAGGACCAACCATGGCGGAGCAGGGAGTAGTGAAGCGACGAACCACCAGATGGGGTATTCGGGATATCGATACACTAATTCACCATGAATTGAAGTATGGAGATGGTTTGTTTGTAGTAAAAAGGGGCGCCCTGGCTCTGTATGAAGATACACACAGGGTGCTGTATTTTTTGTGCAAATTTTGGTATGTAAATGACCTTATATTATAATTAGTAGCTGCTTATTGCTTCTGCTGTTGTTTCCTTCATCTTCCAACTCAATTAGTATATGATTTTTTTTAAAAAAGTTTAAACTAATATGATATGAACCAAGAGACCGAGGGGAGGGGAGTAAGATTCGAATTATCTTGTTGATTGAATATATTCAAGGCAAGAACACTTGTTTGAGATTCGAATTACTCCATAAGGAAGATCAATTATGTCTACTCGAATGATTCTTGTTCATCAAATATGTCATCACTCCACAAGCAAGATTGAATGTGTTTGAGATTCGAATCACTCCACAAGGAAGATCAATCATGTCTAGCTTGAATGATTCTTGTTGATCAAATATGTCATCACTCCACAAGCAAGATTGAATGTCATCCAAGATTGATCATGTTTGAATGATTCTAGAATTGAAAGAGACTTAGCCTTTGGCTAGAGAAGAGTACAAATGCAGAAAATGAAGATTGATCATGTTTGAATGATCCTAGAATTAAAAGAAACTTAGCAATTGGCTAAAAAATGATCCTAGAATTAAAAGAAACTTAGCAATTGGCTAAAGAAGAGTACAAATGCAGAAAATGGGAGTTGTAAAGAAGAGTACAAATGCAGAAAATGGGAGTTGTAACGTGAAACTATGAAAGACATTCCAAGAGTTCAAAGGGAATGACTTTGATACCATGTTAGATGAACACGACTGTCCAGAATGGTATGATATTGTTCACTTTGAACGTAAACTCTCGTGGTTTTGCTTTGGGCATCTAACACGACTGTCCACAATAGTATCATATTGTCTACTTTGAGCATAAACTGTCGTAGTTTTACTTTGGGCTTCTCAAAAAGCCTTAGCATAAACTCTCGTAGTTTTACTTTGGGCTTCTCAAAAAGCCTTGTAGTAACGGAGAGAATATTACTTAATTATAAACACAGTAACGGAGAGAATATTACTTAATTATAAACACAGATCTAGTTCATAAAAATATGGGACTTTCATATGGCTGTTAGTTCATATTTTATCCCCATTTTAAAAAAATTCAATCCAACTTTGGTTAAATTTTGTGTTAATTTTTTTTACAAACAAAATTAATTAATGTGATTAATTTATTTGTTGAAATTTTGTTTTCTTCTCATTTCTCTACTTCTGCCATTCAGCTTTGCTTAGACTGTAAACTCCGCCTTCCTCCTACTCTCTGAATCGTCTCTTCCGGCGAGCTAACCAGAGATTTACCAACTCTCTGACTCATGGGCGGCGATCTACGGTTCGAGATCTCTCAGAATGCTTACATAAAGCTTATTCTCCATGCCCTAAAGCACCGGACCTCCGCCGTCAACGGACTCCTCCTTGGTCGCATCTCCGGCCCCACTGATGTAATCGAAATTGCCGATTCCGTCCCTCTCTTCCACTCCAGCATCGGTCTCCTCCCTCAGCTCGAGATATCTCTCCTTCTGGTACTTCCTTTGAACCATTTTACAGCTGAATTTCATGTTTAGGTTTCTGTAAACCGGTTACTCGTGTGAGAATTTGTTGTGTTTGACGCCATGTTTACTTCCTTTTTCACTTGCGTATTTGAGATCTGTGATTGATGAGGTCGTGGCATGCTTCATTTGCAATCAGATTGAAGAATATTATGCGGCCAAGGGATTGAATATCGTGGGATACTTTCATGCCAATGAGCGGTTTGATGACTATGAGGTCGGTGGTGTAGCCAAGAATATTGGTGATCATATTTCTCGATTTTTTCCACATGCTGCTCTTCTTTTGGTAAGAGATCTCTTATTGCTCTTTATCTGTACTGTTTTGTATATTTCTTTTGTTTGAATTATGCTTCTCTGCAGTTAGATCACAGAAAACTTGAAGCTCTTCCAAAGAGGAAGGATAGAAGCCCTGTAATGGAGGTGAGTTTATTGCTATAGAATTTTTATCATTATTTTGTAAATTGTATTTTTACGCTTTATTAGAATTTCCTCAATGAATTTCCACTATCTTTCCTCCTTTCTTTTGGTACAAAACCATTTAAAGGAGCAATCTTATACCACGAAGATGCAAAATTTAAATATTGTAGGTGAATACCAATACGTAGCATAATTTTTTCGGACCAACTACCTCGTTCGGTTTTTAAAAGACTGGAATATGGTAAAGTAGCTTTGTTACATTTCGTATTGATAATTCATTCATTAATTGAGGTGACATTCTTATGGCTTTCGCAATTGCTAGATTTGATATTATTTGCTTTATAGCATCTTGTTTGAGTGTTCTTTAGGAAGTTTCTCAGTCCTCTTCCATTGATGGAGAGTTGAATGTTAGATACTATTGGCTACTGTTGATGCTATTTGAAATATAAGGAAATGTATGTTGGAGGTTTTCACGGACTTTCTTGCGTATTTATCCTAAATTCCAGCTAATAGTAGTAACTAGATCTTTAAATTTATTCAATTTTATAATCTGTTTTAATGTTCTCTATACTTGGTTGTCTTGTACCGATTCTGCGTTGGAATGGATAAAGTTTGTGGGGTTTCATTTTAGTAAGTGAAAGTATGAGAGAGGCAATAGGAGGGCGAGCTCCAATTTTCGTTGGAGCTGCTCCAGCTTTAGATGTAGGATTTCATAAAATGTTCAACATGGAATGTGTGAATCGATCAAGGAGAAACAAATGCTTATCTATTAAGGAGAGGAAATCCTATTTGCAAATCCAATCATCTCAATTTGCAATTTTAGATGAGAAAGAATTCCCCATCGGTAACAAATGCTTATCTATTAAGCAGAGGAAATCCTATTTAACAGAATGATTATGGCCTTATTCTTCCAAGAACGGACTAAGAGGGGTCAGCTACCCAACCAATCTTCATAATTAAATACCGTTAGTGTATAGGTAGATCTCGTTGTGAAAGACCGATTACTAGCTAATTCATGGGTAGAGCCAAAGAAGCTTAGCGTTCTTTATTGAGAATGAATCTTCGGACCTATATTTTTAATTTTAGGAGAATCCTCTTTGGTGAGGGAGGCAATGGAGTGGATTTCTTTATCTCTTGCCTTTTGGTTTTGTTCTGGACCTTCAACGTTCAAACCAATTATCAGAAAGTGGTTTCTCGAAGCTATGGGGGCCTAGCGTCCTCGCTGGCACACTGCTCGGTGTCTGACTCTGATACTATTTGTAACAGTCCAACCTCACCGCTAGCATATATTGTTTGCTTTGGTCTGTTACGTATCGTCGTCAGCCTCATGGTTTTAAAACGCGTTTGCTAGGGAGAGGTTTCCACACCCTTATAAGGAATGCTTCGTTCCGCTCTTCAACCGATGTGGGATCTCACAATCCACCCCTATTGGGAGCCCAACGCCCTCGTTGGCACACCACTTAGTGTCTGGCTTTGATACCATTTGGAACAGCCCAAGCCCACTGCTAGTAGATATTGTCCTCTTTGGGCTTTCCCTGTCGAGTTTCCCTTCAAGGTTTTTAAAATACGTTTGTTAGGGAGATGTTTTCACACCTTTATAAAGAATACTTCGTTCCCCTCTCCAACCGATGTGGGATCTCACAATGTAGCTTCAATCTGACATCTACATTAAAGTTCTCATGACATGTTTAAGACACCTCAATTCGTATTATTCTACCTTTCTTCAAGATTATTCTTCCTCGAATATAAGGGATTCCATTGTAATGAAAACTTGAAATCATTTGCATCACATGGTCTTACTCTTCCATATTCACACATGAAATCTAGATTTGAATTTGATGAATGAAATAGAAGTGTCACTTCGTATGTAGCCTTTCGGTCCTTTTCTTTCGACATGGGCTCATATTTGAAGAAACCTTTAAATCTTAGACATTTGCTTTATGCAAGAATTTCAAAAGAAAAATAGGAACACTTGGTTTAAGCGCACCCATTAGAAATCAAGTCCTTCTGGTTACAAGTTCATGTATGTGTCATTTTGAAAACAAAATAGTGCCCTCCTCACAAACTTTCATAACTGAACCCTCGTTCTCATGAATCTGTCTTTCCTCATTTTTTCTAGAGATTTTATCATGGCTCCATTCTCAACTCTCACTTCAAATATCTCCTTATCCACCTCGACAACCTCACTATTGGAATCTTCCTTTTTAGATTGTGGATGATCTCTCTCATCTTGAATTGGCTGGTCAACTTGAGGTATCAGACAATCTTCCTTATTGTTAATAGATTGTGTGGCTCGACTCTTTTTGATTTGGTCTTGCTAGTTCATCTCTTGATTCAAGTCAGACTTGTATTTAATGATTGACATGTCTCTACTAAATTATCTCGAACAACCTTTCATAGATGAGCATCACTACTGTAGGTCTCGTGACAATTTCATCATTGGTGAAATATGCTCTTAAGATGAAAGTAAAATGAAAAGATATGATCTCTCAAACACTCAAGTCATTTATTTTACTCGGAACACTCGTGTTTACACTTAAAGATAGGCCATTTGGGAAACATGGCTAAATTATGATCTTGGGTGAGCTACTACGTGGATTAAGCAATTCTTGTAATAGTAAGCTATTCAAGACAACCAAGACAAAATAATTATGAAATAACAACAAAATAGAATTAAAAAAAACGAAGAAAGGATTAAACAAGTGAGGAAGGTCCCAAAGATAGTTCTCGGGTAAAACATAACGTTGGAAATGAATTCTAAAAAGAAAGATGTTACGATTTTGACTAAATGTCTATCTTAACTCTTAAAGATAAGAGGCTAGTCTCTCTTTTCTTAACAGAGCAATCAAGCTAACTTAGACGTTATCACTAAGTTTGAATAGGAAAGAAAAACATTAAAAAGCAACCGAGACAAGATTTGGACAGTATTTGCAAAATGTGATTCGAAGCTGATTTGATCTTCAAATAAACGTACAAATAGTCTAATAGTTGATAAAAAATAACGATAATTGTTGTAATATCACTACTATCTCAAATATGATTAGATTGCAAAGATCAAACACCAAATTTACCATAGCAATTTAAGAACACACTATGAAAAAATTTCTAGATGTTTTTTCTTCTCTCTTTTCAAGATGTAAACTTGATCTTTAAAGATAAAAATGAGATCAAAGTCAAAGGATGAAGAGGAATGGTGGAGGTGCATCAACGAAATGAACGGACAGATTTGTAGAAAAGATGAAGAATTGTATAAATGAAAGATAAAATTAAATCTAGAGCATGGCACAATATGCAACATAAGCTCGGATACCAAATAAGACAACCTTAATTCTTAGTCCAACAATCCATATTTTTATTGAAGCAAGAACCCTTGAATCAAAGAAATTAGCACCTCATTATGCAAAATTCAAATCAACCAAGCGATAAGTCTTGAATTAGATAAGATAAAAGATCTAGAAGCAAGATTTGAAAATCTTGTTCTAAATTGAGTCACTCGACAATTAAACTTGATCAAAGCTTGGTTGAATCACTCATATGCAATCTACTACAAGAATTGCATGAAAACTTAAAAATGACAAACATGATGCTCAGATTTCTAAGGGAGATTCTCAAACTTAAGAGCATAATTTTCCTTCATTCCGAATTTGGATCGAAAAGATAACAGAAATGCCTTTATGCAACCTCGAAATTAAACTATAGATTATCTTCTTTGCCAACCAACCATCACAGATGGGACTAGTGGTCAATAAAGACTTATGTAATTAGTAAAAAGCTGAGAGCGAATGGATCTAATTCATGGTGATCATCTACCTATGATTTAAACTTTTATGAGTTTCCTTAATAGCTAAATGTAGCAGAGTTATGCAATCATCTAATGATAATAATTAAGATGTGCACTATAATAATAATAAAATAAAATAATTGATAGGCCTGGTATTACGAACGTGTATACACGAAAGAGAGTGAAAAACGTGATAAGCACGTGAGAAAGGAATATGGTGCATTATGTGCATTAGTGGGCCCGATGGGAGTTTTATAGTTATAGTGGCAGTGGAGCTAGAGTATATAGCGTAGAGTTTTTGTGACAGGAGGGTATCTTTTTGCTATTAGTTGTTTTGGTTATATATAAAATTGATAGGCCTATCATAACTAAAATTGTTGGACAAGGCCTATCATAAATATTATATTCTTTACCATGGCTTGGGTTGGACCATGAGTTTACCCTTCCCCTCGTACATATTTGTCCTAAGAAGTGTGGAAGGTCACGTGTTTATATTTTTAAGGTTTGAGTTAGTTGGACGAGGTAACGAGTAACAATCATGTCACCTTACTAGTAAAAAGTATAAACTTTTAAGTTTAACTTCAAACATTTTTCTTTGACCCTTCCACTTCGACGGTGGTCAATTAGCCCAACCTCTCATAACTTCTCCTTTTTCAACTCTTCGTTGCTTAGTTGGCCCCTATGGGACTTTACCCTAGCTGATGGTTAGTTGTCATCCAGTCTCTGCACAAGACATGTCTGGAATGGCTAGCCATTATTTTTCTTTTAAAGATCTATATCCACATTTTAGAGGATGATAATTTCCACCGTCTTTGGAATAACATTTGCATTTATATAGTTATACATACACAATTTCATTTTTTATTCAGTGATACAACATGGAAAACTTTCAAATCAATCACGTAAACATTCAACATTCAAAACAAATATCATGATCATATGATATCCCAACTTAGCACTATGACATTTCGATAGAAGAGTCACTTTTATTAGTAATCCAAAAACTGGTTTAGCTCAACATGAAAGTTCTTTGGCGACCTGAATAAATCTCTGAAATTAAAACTTTATTTGAGGGTTAAATCTAATTTTACCAAACGTTATCCCATCATTCCCAATCTACTCTGTCTAAAGCCTAAATGTATAAAGGTTCCAATGGTTATAAACTATTATAAATACTTTAATTCAATCCAAAAGGAATTTATATGAATGAAGCATTACCTACTAGCTTGTACCAAACAAACTTGAGTTCTTATTTGTTTGTGTTCGAATGTATTCGAACTCACAGATCTGAACTTTACAAGCTATGGGTGTTCAAATTTGAGGTCTTTTAGAGTGTTGGTAATGAAACTAATGCAGACTGGGTTGTCAATGGTTTTATTGCTGTGGGAGTGTGTAATGTCCCAAGCCCAATCCCACCGCTAGCCGGTATTGTCCTCTTTGGGCTTTCCCTTTCGGGTTTCTCTTAAAGGCTTTTAAAACGCGTCTGCTAGGGAAAGGTTTCCACACCCGTATAAAGGGTGTTTCGTTCTCCTTCCCAACCAATGTGGGATATCATAAAGTGTTTATTAAGAGCCCGCTGGACTGTCCTCGAGGAGTGGGTGCTCGCATGGTGGGAAAAGAAGAGAATCGGATCAGAGGTCTGCTGTAGTTGCACGTCATGAAGCTTGTGGGTGAAGTACATTGCAGGTTTGTTCATCCTGGGTCTACTATTTGTGGAGCGCCGTTGTGACTGGTCAATGGAATTGTGCTAACATAGATAAATATGGATTCATTTGAGGAGCTATAACGTCGTCAACGTCGATCATGGGAGAAAGTTGCACACGTTATGGTAATCTGTTCACTGGAGGAGTAGCATGAGTTAGGTGCAGTCAGATGACGTCCTCTGATTGTGGTTACCACCACAGGCTATCGTTGCGAGTCGTTGGAGAGGGAAAACGGTAGGGGTGACTGTTGGCTCCTGGTTCATGAGGGAGGGAGAAAGAAAGAGATAGAGAGAAGACCTGGGGTTTTCTGATTTGTTCTTTTTTGTTTTGTTTTGTTTTTGTTTTATTTGTTCTTCTGGATCATTTAGTTTAATCAAGATATGATTGGATTATATATGCATGACTGTACTTTCCAATGAACAATATCTGATTTTCTTGGCTGTTTTGTGCTGCTACTCTATGCCACCTAACCAGACATCATGTAATCTAGGAATGCTATTAAACTGTAGGCCTCATCTATTGCTAATGTTCTTCTCATTCATTTCGTTTGTTTTGTCACCGGCCAGCTATACACAAGGGAAACTCCCAAGAATTGGAAGCTGGCTGGATCAGACGGAAGCAGCCAGCTAACAATCAAGGAACCGTTAGCAAATATGGTCCTCTTAGATTACATCTCATCTGAAAAATGGCAAGATGTGGTGGACTTCGACGATCACCTCGACGATATTAGCAAGTACAACACACAATCCCCCTCTTTTTGAATATTGCATCATCAATCATGAAAAAAAAGAAGCAAAAGTAATCTTTTAAACTTCAAAAAATTTGCAGGGATTGGTTGAACCCAGACCTCTTCAAGTAGAGAAAGATCTTTTCTTCATAGTTGCAAGGCTTGATTGCTCTTAGAAGGATTGGTTGGAAACTGGAGGCTTCTTGTGCTTCAATTACTCATATTGTTAGATGTATTGGTATTAAAGTATTCAACCAATTTTATCTCATTAGACTTCGATTACTCGTCTTTGATTCGATATACCGAAGCTCTCGGTGTCGAAGCGTTTTAGTGTTTTGAGTTAGGGGTGGATGATGTTTAAGGAGGTAGTTTGGATGTACTTTGCACTATATGTGTCATTCTTTTGTTGAGAGTGTTGGATCGGTATGGCAACCCTAGAGGGGGGGTGAATAGGGTTTTAACGATAAAAGTGTTTAAACTTGATTAATTTTTTTCTAATAATAAAACTTTTTACAAATGAGTAGAAGATGATAATTACTAAAACAAAATAATTCAAGTCAAAACAATAATCAAGTAGAACATGCAATAAATCATAATAATAATCTTGAAATTAAATAGTAAAGAGTTAGAGAAAATGACATCGTAGTTTTATAGTGGTTCGGTCAAACTCGACCTACTCCACTCCCCAAGCGCCTCTTGGGAATTTGAATAAAGAACTTTTCCGACTCTTTCCACGGATCAGAGCCAAACCGGTACACCGCTCTTTTTACGAGTTCAAGAGCAAACTCAATCCTTTCCACGGCGTAGGATCAAACCGAAACAAGTATTTGAGTTTGATAATATCACACCACAACTCTCTTAAAGAGTAGATTTACAATTTGGGATACTCACAACTATTTCCTCACAATATAATAATAATCCCTCTCAAGAATAAGATGAAAAGAAATAAACTTGTACGCTTGGAGAGAGCAACAAACAATGGAGACTTTGAACAAATGAGGATTGAAGAATGTATGTAAGTTGTGTGTTATAAAAATGTGGGGAAGATGA